CCCTGAGCATCGCCGGGTGTGACCCAAAAAGCAAAAAAAAAAAAAAAAAAAAAAGAAGTGACCCCTGGGTACAACCTGGGGCCACCCCAACCCCCCAAATCCAACTCAGACAAACAAACAGCGAAAACCAAGCCACCTGCGTCCTTTCCATGGTGGCCTCATCCTTCTCATCTCCCTAATCTTGGTCCTTTGAAAACTCAAACCCTCAGCCTGGAATGTGGGGAATTTCCCCAGACTTTCACCTGGCGGTGCTCTGGGACCCTATGGGATGCCGGGGATCAAACTCGGTTCAGTCACGTGCAAGGCAAGCGCCCTCCCCGCTGTGCTATCATAACTCTGGACTCTCAACGGTAATGTATTTGAGACGACATCGAATAGCTGGCCAAGCTGATATGTTGCTCTTTGTAGACATTTAACTGAATGTCACCGAACCCCGCGTTTTCATTTTCTTTAGGTATTTGAGGATGGAAATAGACTTCAACATTTTCCTAGTTGCAAAAGCCAAAGCCCTAGGCATTCTGCCTGTAGCATGGAGGTGGGAAACGGATCTTTGCGGGACACTATTTAAGAGCTGGAGCTTTGTGTATGCATCCCGTGAGCGGAATCTATTTTGCATTAAGGTTGTGTCTTTGGGTCGCACATTTTTGTAGCCGATGGCGCCCTCTGGCGCACGATTTGTGAACTGACGTTGTGTGACGTGCTTTGTAAGGCTGTTTCTGGGGCGCCGTGGGCAACGTTGATACCAGAATGTGCGAGTCGGGGAGGGTCTTTGTAATCAGAGGGTGTTTGTTGAACGAATGAGCAGGACTACCAGGTCTTCCAGAATTCTCTATTGGAGCAAGTAATTAAAAAAAAAAGAAGCAAAGTGAATTGTTCCTTTAGGAAACGCACAGCGAGAAAAGGGATAATGAAGTTTGATGTGTGCTCGTTCCCGAGTTCCAGGGGAAATGAGAAGAAACCAGAGTTTCTCCAAGGGGAATTCACGCCTGGAATGAGAGTTGCTCAGAAAATCCTGAAGCATCACAAAGGGAGGAGGCTAAAATGGACGGCAGAGGCCGAGTGGACGGCAGAAGTTGAGTGGACGGTAAAGGCTGAGCAGATGGCAGAGGCTGAGTGGACGACAGAGGCTGAGTGTGTTGGGACTAGAATCCGGAGTGCAGAGACGGAAGCTCCCTGGAGTGCTGGAGTACAGGCGGGGTTCCTATCTGCTCTCTTTCTTTCTCCCTCCAGGAGAATCTCCCCTTAAGAAAGTCCTTTACATTTCTGTTTATCCGGTAAGCTACTGCTTTCGAATATGTAAGAGTCCAACCTGGACAGGTCCAGGTTGTTAGGCGCCCGAACGTTGTTCTCTTAAACATTGCTGGTTCTAAGCAGGGACTACTGTTCCCAGAGGACAGTCAGGCTCACAGACCACAAGGCTGTGAGCCCCTTCCTCCATGCTTTTTTTCTCTTCTGTCTCTTTTTAAATCTCGCAGCATCTCTGCTTCAGGCCTGTTCATCCGGGCCTGAGCTGACAGGCCCCTCTGACCTCGGCACGAGCAGATGGCAGGAGCAGAGAGAATCCACAGGGAAACAACAGACAGGAGAAGGCCGGGGGCTTCCTCCTGCAGGCTCATCCTCAGACGTCAGGGACCAGAGCAAGAGGACTGCCTCCCCCCCCCCACCCCCAGAGCCAGAGGGGAAGTGGAGCCTGCGCATTCCACAGTTAGTCTGGCCGTGGGTGCGAGGGGCTCTTGCCTGATGATGTGTTGGGGTCACCGAGGGCCCCACAACCCCTCTACCATAACCCGAGTGGTAGGGTGTTTCCATGGCAACCATTAGAATATGTTTCTAGGGAATCCTTCTTCCCTGTTGGAAATCACTTTAAAACAGAAAAAAAAAAAGAAGGGTGGGGGCTGGAGAGAGCAGGCCTCGTATGGCCTCGTATGTTGGCCTCCCTATGGCTCACCTGGACTCTGGCCTCGCACCTCCTGTGGTCAGGGGTGACTCCTGAGCGCAGAGCCAGGAGGAAGCCTGCGTACTTCTGGGTGTGACCCGATAGCAGAACAAAGAAACACACACACTCACACACACACACACACACACACACACACACACACACACACACACAGAGGCAGGTGAGATAGTACAGCAGGTGGGGTGTGACTGAAGCAGGCACCCTATCGGCCCCCTGAGCACCACCAGGAGAGATCCTTGTGTGCAGAGGCAGGGGTCACCCGGTATCAAAGCTCTGGGAGACCCCCCGACTCGGGGGCCTGTCCAGTGACCCGACAAAGGAAGGGGTTTCCTCTTTCTCAGTCACTCCCACTCTCACTCACTCTCCCGCTCACTCTCCCACTCTCCCACTCACTCCCACTCTTGCCCTCCCTCTCTCCTTCACTTTCCCACTCGTCTCTCTCTCCCCCTTGGCCCCCTCCCTTCCACAGATGTGTCAGGTGGCCCCCCCCCCAGGTGCTGATACCTCCCAGGGGTGTTCTGGAGACAGAAACAAGCTCAAATGGCACAGACAAGCACTTAGGAGGGACATCAAGTCCTTGCTGAATTTTCGCTTTTCTACTTTCCTTTCTTCTTCTTTTGCTGCTTGGCCATTTCCCAGTGCGCAGTGAGGGGATTAAATTAAATTCTCTGTTGCCTTGAAACCATCACACCCGTCCCACCTTGTCATCTCGTAAACCGGAAACGGAAGCTCTGCTCTGCCTGTTTAACCCCCCCCCCCCCCACGTCCATTGCTAAACCTCACTAATACATTAACCTCTGATCACAGTGTAGGTCACATGCTCATGATCATGTTAACATTCTCGGTTTTGCTTTCCAGTTACGTCTCTTCCCTGCCACCCATGCCCAGGACCCTCCACCAACATCCCCGTGACACTCCTGTCCCCCTCACCATCCCCTCACGCTGGGGCTGGCCTCATGCAAGGTCTCCCTTGCTCGTCTCCCTTGCCTGGCTAACTCTGTCTTGTTTCTGCACTGATTCCTGCTCCTGTGAAACAAAGTGAAACAGTCACCTCTCCCGGAAGGTCACTAGCCTGGGCCAGCACCCCTGCTTGATGGGTCTCTGGGTCCTTGCTCTGGCCAGTTTGGCCCTTTGCTTCCGACTGCTCTGGAAGATTTGTCACTCTGAATGCCTCTTGAGTGGTTTTTAGTGTGAGTGCTGCCATGGGTGACGTCTGGGACACAGGGGTCAGCCCTGACCTCTGGCCTGTTCTGCCAGGGAAGCGGTGCCACTAAACAGCAGATGACACCGAAGTCATCTCCCCCCAAATGAATCTCTCAGGTCTTCTTCCTCTCTTTCCCCCTTTTTGGGTTGCACCGGGGGATGCTCAGGGTTCCTCCTCATTCTGCACACAGGAATTACTCCTAGTGGAGCTCAGGGTGCAGGAGTACAGGATGCCGGGGATTAAACCCAGGTCAGCCACATGCAAGGCGAACATCCTTCCTGCTGTCCTATCACTCAGGCCCCCTGTCACGGCCTTCTCGTGACAGCCACCAGTAAGTGCTACAATTCCAGAAGAGTCCACAGCCAATTAACACGGTGACCACCAGCCCTCAGGTGGCCCAGAACATGGTGTTTCTACTTTAAGTTAAAAATTTCACAAGAAGGGGCTGGAGTGATAGCACAGCGAGTAGGGCGTTTGCCTTGCAGGTGGCCAACCCGGGTTTGATTCCCAACATCCCATATGGTCCCCTGAGCACCGCCAGGAGTGATTCCTGAGTGCAGAGCCAGGAGTAACCCCTGTGCATCGCCGAGTGTGACCCAAAAAGAAAAAAAAATCACAAGACGGGGTGAGAGTTAGTACAGCAGAGAGGGTGTTTGCCTTGCATGCAGCCAAACACGGCTAGGTCCCCAGACTCACATACAGGCCCTGGGGCACAGCTAGGAGTAATTCCTGAGCACAGAGCCAGGAGTAACCACTGAGCACTGCCGGGTATAGCCCCAAAACGAAGAAAAATTTTAATAATCCTTATTAAAACGGGGACCTCAAATAAGATTTTTTTCCATTAGAAAATACAAATTTGGCTCTGACACAGGGTGCTGCCGTCTGTGTGTGTGTGTGTGTGTGGGGAAGGAGCACACATTTCCTCCCGAGAGGAAACACCAGAGGCTCGGGGAGCAGCATCACCTGGAAAGGTGCCCCCTGATGGGGACAGCAGCCCCGGGGGACAGTCCTGGACTGTCCTCGTCCTGTCTCCTGGGCCCCGCACACGTCTGCTCTCTCCGCTGTGCAGGCGCCTGGACCAGCCTCGTCCTTCTTTCTAGCTGCTGCCCCTCCCTGACCCCGAATCTGTGCGTCCGCTCCCTGCACCCACATGCGGTGGCCTCGTTTATTCTTCCTCTGGGGGGGGGGGGACACCCTGGGCGGGCAGTGACCTCGGGGCGCGGCCTCTTCCTGCACTTGACCTTGTGACCGCCGGTCCTGCCTGGGGGGCCGGTGGCGGGTCTGTTGCAACCGCGCCCGGTTGTAGGATTCTCCGCGTGTCCGGGCTGCGGCCCTGCTGGACAGCGCCTGCCGCACTGACCACTCAGCGCCCCCTGCCGGCGGGTGCCGGCGCGTCCCCCCACGCTGGGTCCGGCTTGACGGACACTGAAGGTGCGCGACCCGCACGGGGAGAGCCTGGACGTGGGGGCCCTGAGCAGTGGGCGGCGGGATAAGGGGACTGGCCGCCGCCAGGGGGCAGGAACGGACCGTCCTTCCTCCCACGGCCTCGCCCGGTCCCACCACCGAGTCCAACTCCGCCGAGGTTCGCAGCATTTGGTCCCCACCCGCGCCCAGCCCAGGGGCGTGGCCAGAGCTGAGCCCGGCGCGCCTGTCCCCAACCAGCACGGCCCCCGGGGGCGCGTGACGCCGCGGCCGGGTCAGGAACTGGCCGCACCGAGACTGGGAGGCCGCGCCCGCTGACCCTGCCCGCCGCCCCTGCCCGCTGCCCGCTGCCCCTGCCCACTGCCCGCCGCCTCGCCCGCCCCTCCAGCTCGCCAGCAGCCCGCGGGAGCAGCCGCGATGGAGATGCCGAAGGTCCCTGGGGGTCCGAAGGCTGCCAAGGGCCGGGCCGCAGCGCCCAGGTAAGGGGGTCAGCCCGGACACGTGGGGCGGGCTGGGGGCTGCAGCCAGAGAAGGGCCAGGACTCTCCCGAGGGCTGGATTTCAGGGGCTCCCAGCTCAGGGGAAGATTCTCGGGGAGCAGGGTCGCGGGGAGGCAGCAGTGAGTGCGGGGCACAGCCGGGTGGTCCTGACCCTGGGACTGAGGTCCTGGGGCCAGTGGACGGCAGGAAGGAGGGTCTGCCCTGCTGGGCCCTGGGGTCGGGGGTGGGGGGCAGCATTGGTCTGAGTCTCTCCCAGGCTTACCCAGAAGCTTCTCTGACCCCTGAGCTGGACTTCAGGGACAATCCTGACTGATATCCTGGAAAACTTGGGTGGGTGCTGAGGCGGCCCCCTGGGGAACATCTCAGAAGGCTGATGGGACCTCGGAGTCTACCAGAGACCTGGAGAGAATCGGTTATTTCTCGGCATTGTGTGTGTGTGTGGGGGGGGGGGATTGGGTGGAGGGAGGAGGTGAGAAGGGGGAGTGAAGGGGAGGGGAGGGGACGGGAGGGAAGGGCAGCTGTCTCTGTTCTGGCCGTTCTTCTCTGTTCTTGGGTTGGGCAATTGTATGAGAGACAGAAGAGAGAGAGAGGAGAGAGAGGAGAGAGAGAGAAGAGAGGGAGAGAGAAGAGAGAGAGGAGAGAGAGGACAGAGAGAAGAGAGAGAGCACTGTTTCTTTGGCAAATGAATTCCTTTTTTTTTTTTTCCAGACCTGCTGGATTCTCTCTGCTTCTTTTAGCTTTCTTACCCACAGGAGTCTAAAAAAAAATATCTCTGCCCCAAAGTCCCACTTCACTTCCTCAGGATACTATAATAGAAGCATTTCTGTGTTCCTGTTCGCTTAGGCCACCTGAGTCCCCCTCGCCACACCTGAACGCTGTCTGCTCCCCTCCTGCCTCCTGCCACTTGCCGTATCGCTGTTTTCTCATCAGCACTCACTGAGCACCGTGGTGTGCCCAGGCCCAGGATTAGGACGGGGGACAAGGAACGGGGTGGGGGTGGGGGGAGAGGGTACGTCTCAAGAGCTCGCCACCCAGGGTGCAGCGTGGAAATGAAGACCGGGCACAGGAGCACATTGAGCGAGCAGGAGAGGAGAGAGGTGGGGCCGGGAATCCGGGGATCTGGGGTGCGTGGTCGCCACGGAAATGCTGCAAGTTAACAGGAAATGGCATTTCTGCAGGGTTTTAAATATCATACATATGGGCCCCCACATGTGTCTGTTTAAGGGTGGTAAAGGGGTAAGAGGTGATGGGTTGGGTTGCTGCGGACTTTGCTTAGACCTGGGACTGATTGTGGGTTACATTTCTTTGAATTCGTTGAATTTTAGTCAAAATGGCTGTGGTTACTAGGAGGAGAAAGAAGAAATGAGTTTTGCAATTTGTGGGGGAGAGTCCTGTGTAGAAAGGAACCAGTTCCTACCAGTCAGAAAATATTTATAGCTTTTATTTTGGGGGTGGGTGGGCACACTCAACAGTGCTCAGACATCATTCCTGGCAGTGCTTGGGGGACCATACCTGGTGCTGAGGATAAAACCTGGGTCAGCCACAAGCAAGGCAAGCTCCCTACCTGCTCTACTATCTCTCTTAATTAATAAGCAACTTTTTATTGCTTATTATAACAAGGGCTTATCAGAAAATAAATCCATAAAAGCCAATTTGTGATAATTGATTTTTTTTTCTTTTTGGGGTCACACCCGGTGATGCTCAGGGGTTACTCCTGGCTTTGCATTCAGAAATCACTCCTGGTGGTGCTCAGGGGACCATATGAGATGCTGGGAATCGAACCTGGGTCGGCCGTGTACAAGGCAGATGCCCTACCTGCTGTGCTACCGCTCCAGCCCCTGTGATAATTGTTATAACTCACATGATGTCGCTAAGGTCCTTGTCTGAAGATGCATGGAGCTGGTTGGTACTAGCTGGTTGGTGCTGTGTTACTGTTTTTGCTCAGTGAGCTCGGTGGGCTTCTGTACAGCTTTTCCACCCAAGTTGTGGTGATCCCACTGGGCTGTCAGTGCTATGAAATTTAGAGGTGTCTCGTGGCCATGTGCTCCAGGACCTGCAATGACTTGGAGGCTTGGCACGTTGAAGAGGTTCAGTTGTGGAGCTGGGCGGTTTCTCTGCCAGAAAATGGTGATAATGGGAGCTGCTGGTCCTTCAGTGGGAGGACGTGGGGTATTTCCTACCCCCGTTTTGAGAAGGCCCCAGAGTTTTCAGCTTGGACTCATGTACCTCGCAGATTCTGTGTCTTGGCATTCTTTACAGGATTAGTTGACTAATTTTGAGAATAATTTTTTGGGGGATCACATCTGGTGACACTCAGGGGTTACTCCTGACTCTGCACTCAGGAATTACTCCTGACAGTGCTTGGGGGACCATATGGGGTGCCGGGGATGGAACTTGGGTTGACTGCATGCAAGGCAAATGCCCACCTATTGTACTATCACTCTGGCCCCCATTTTTTTTTTTAGATTTTTTTAAAAGAAAAGTTTGAGAGAAAAGCTGGAAATAACCATTTAGAAAGTCATAGTCAATTAGAAAAATTGAGGGTTCATTTCTTTTTTTTTTATTAGTGAAATACCATGAGGTACAGTTGTAGATTTACAAATTTTTGTGCTTGGATTTCGGTCATACCATGATCAAATACCCATCCCTCCACCAGTGCCCATTTCCCACCACCAGGATAATATCCCTCCCCCCATCCCCCCCATCCCCCCCTGCCACTCTCTCCTTTTGGGTGTTGTGTTCAGCAAAAGAGGCATTGAGTGGCAAACATGTTCAGTCCAGTCTACTTTCAACCTGCATCTCCCCTCCTGGGAGGATCCTCCAAATACCCTCCATTTGGTGCTTCCTTCTCTATCTGAACTGTCCTTTCCCCTAGAATACCCGGCTGGCTGGCCCCCATTTTTTGACCCAACCTAGTGGTGCCGAGGGGTGACTACTGGCTCTTTGCTCACGGAGCTCTCCTAATGGGACTCGGGGGTCATATGGGTGCCAGAGACCAAACCTGGATGGGCCACATACAAGGCAAACACCCTTCCTATTGAACTATGTCTGTGGCTGTCTCCAGCCCCAAATTTTGAGAATCATTTTAATGAAAGCCCTTATCTGAGTTGAATTGACTGCAGATGGCCAAACACTATACCCAGGTTACAAAACAGTCACTCAACTTCTTGGCAGGGTTCAGGGGACCATATATGGTGCCAGGGATTGACCCTGGACTGGATGTGTGCAAGGCAAGTGCTCTAGCCCTGTACCTGCTGTGCCAGCGCTGCAGGTCACATTTTTATTTTTTAATTTAAAAAATTTTTATTTTTATTTATTTATTTATTAGCGAATCACCATGAGGTACAGTTACAGGCTTACAAACTTTTGTGTTCGCGTTTCAGTCATACAATGATCGAGTGCCCATCCCTTCACCAGTGCCCATTTTCCACCACCAATGGTCCCAGCATCCCTCCCACCACCCCCACCCCGTACCCTCCACCCTACTCTGCCTCTGTGGCAGGGCATTCCCTTTTGCTCTCTTTCTCTTTTTGGGTGTTGTGGTTTCCAATAAAGGTATTAAGTGGCCATCATGTTTGGTCTATAGTCTACTTTCAGCCCGTGTCTCCTCTCCCATCCCGAGCGGGTCCTCCTAGCACCCTTTACTTGGTGGTCCCTTCTCTATCTGAGCTGCCCCCTCCCCCAGCATGTGAGGCTGGCTTCTAAGCTGTGGAGTAATCCTCCTGGTACTTATCTCTACTATTCTTGGGTGTTGGTCTCCCATTCTGTTACTTCATATTCCACAAGTGAGTGCAATCGTTCTATGTCTGTCCCTCTTTTTCTGACTCATTTCACTTAAAGTGATGCTCTCCATGTTGATCCACCTATATGAAAATTTCATGACTTCATCTTCTCTAACAGCTGCATAGTATTCCATTGTGTAGATGTACCAGAGTTTCTTTAACCAGTTATCTGTTCTTGGGCACTTGGGTTTTTTCCAGATTTTGGCTTTTGTAAACAGTGCTCCTGCAGGTCACTTTTTACTCCATCCATTCTATCTCTTTCACATCTATTTTATTTTTGTAAAAAGTTGTTTTTTTTGGGGGGGCCGCACCTGATGATGCTCAGGGGTACTCCTGTCTGTGCTCAGGAATTACTTCTGGCGAGCTTGGGGGACCAGATGGGGTGCTGGGGATCAAACCCATGTTGGCTGCAATGCAAGGCAAACACCCTAACTGCTGTATTATCTCTCTAGCCATCCCCTCGAGTTTCTTTTAAGGAATACCATTTTTATTTATCTTTTTTCTCCTTTTTTAGAGAAATAGTTCCTCTCATCTCCCAAGCTGTGCTCAGGGGGGCTGGGGCTCCCTCCCGGTATTTAAATACAAACACCCAACTTTGAGGTGCTGCCCGGGCCCTGCTGGGAATGCCCTGGGCCAGTGCTGGGGGCTTCCAGCCACACCTGGGGGTGCTCAGGGTCCCCCAGGGCTGCATCAAGTGAGTCCTCACATAGGGTGAGGACAACTCATCTGGCCCCTTCCTTTGTGATCTTGATCTGGTAGGTCTAGATTGGATACGGGAAATCCGTTCTTTGAACCTTTGTCCTTTACTGTGTTTATTCCAACATTGTCCCTCGCTATTTGCCATGGCTTTTAGCCTTCGTGGGCTGGAGCGATAGCACAGCAGGTAGGGCGTTTGCCTTGCACGCAGCCAACATGGCCAACCCGAGTTAAATTCCTCCGCCCCCCTCGGAGAGCCCGGCAAGCTACCGAGAGTATCTCACCTGCACGGCAGAGCCTGGCAAGCCACCCATGATGTATTCGATATGCCAAACACAGTAACAACAAGTCTCATGATGGAGACGTTACTGGGCCCGCTCGAGCAAATTGATGAACAACGGGAGGACCGTATCTCGACCGTATCTTTAGCTTTCAGAACAGTCAGGGCTTGAGAATGCTCCCCTGCCCCCCCCCCCCCCCCCCCGTGTGGGGCTCTGAGATATTCAGAGAGGGCCACAGGTAATAAAGTCACATAAATGTGTGACCACAGCCCAAGGCTGGGGGCCATCCGGCAGGGCAGGGCAGCCACAGGAAGGAAACACAGTTTGGAGGCGGCCACAGTTGGAGAGAGAGTGAGGAACGCGCATGAATAAGGGCTGGTGGGTCCTAACTACAATACAAGCCTTTAGTGAACCCCGGGGAAGGCTGGGTTTGCGCCGGAGCAAGCGCGCAGAGACGGTTTCCCAGTGCGTCCGCGCCAGGCACCTCAGGACGCAGGGCCCCAAGGACAGTCGGGTTCCCAGGGAGGGTCCCTTGCGGGAAGGTCCACGTGCTACTTCTGCCCCTTAACAGGAGCAGCCGGAGTGCGCAGGAGCCGGGCCTGAGGCTTCTCCTCCTGGGGAAGCGCGGCGCAGGGAAGAGTGCCACTGGGAACAGCATCCTGGACCGATCAGCGTTTGTGTTTAGACTCAGTGCGCAGGCGGTCACCAAAGAGTGCCAGAGCGCGCGCGGGACTGTGCAGGGCATGGAGCTCGTGGTCATCGACACCCCCGACCTCTTCTCCTCGAGCATCAGCGCCGAGACCCAGCGTGGCCACCTCGAGCGCTGCGTGGAGCTCTCGGCTCCCGGCCCCCACGCGCTCCTTCTGGTCATCCCCATCGGCCACTTCACGAGAGAGGACGAGGAAACCATCTATCGCGCCAAGTCCAGGTTTGGACCGGAGATCATGAGGTACAGCATCGTGGTCTTCACTAGGAAGGATGAGTTGGGAAATGACTCCCTGCATGAGCTCATGGAGAGCAGCGAGGCCCTAAAGGCGCTGGTGCGGGACTGCGGGGGCCGGTACTGCGCTTTTGACAACAAGGCCTCGGGGAAGGACAGGGACGAGCAGGTGTCCGAGCTCCTCTGCAAGATAAAGCATTTGGTGGACCAGAACGGAGAACAGCCCTATTGCCTGAACCTCGGAAACGAACACAGTGAACTGCAGATGAGAACTCATGCCCATGTCTTCAAGTACCACTACGATGCTGGAGCAAGTGGGACAACAGAGGCGCAAGTAAGTGAGACTTTATGGAACAGAGGCTTCGTTTAGGGGACAGTCACCCATACACTGGGAAGAGGAGGCGCAGAGAGCAGGGTCCTTTAAATACGGACTTTATTCGACAAAATAGGATTTGTTGATGACTCCTCCGCGTCTTTCCCCTTGGCTTCAATAAAATCGCCTATTCCAGTCTCCACCTTCTGTTCCTGGGACCCCAGAAATCACCGAGCCTTTTCATGGGCTCTGACATTGGCATCTTTCCACGTAGTCTCACCCTTCCTCAATTCTCTCGCCTTTGGGTCCCGCATTGATACAGCTTTGAGGTGACTCCATCTCCACCCCTTTTCTGTGCTGACTCTGACCGATTTACTGGGCGTCTCCCTTAGAGGACTTCAAGCTTGACATTCAAACCTTTTGGGTTTTCATCTTATCTTTGTAATATTTTGCTTTTTCCTCTCAAGTCAGGTACTCACCATTTTCATCCAACCTAGACCCAGACATCAGCGTCACACCACAGTGCGCTCACCTCCAGTATCCTCGAAGTCAAGTCTCGTTTGACCAACATGCCCGTCACCCATCTACTTCTCTCCTTTTCTGCTGTCACCCGCTGGTCCTGCCAGGCTGTTTTCTCATCCCTGCTGTCTTGCCAGGAGCCTTCCAATCACTCCACCCTCACCTGTCCTTTTCCCTTACTCTTCAATCCAGTATTTAATGCAAAAGACAGCTGTAACTAAACACAAACACAGACTTTCTGAGAAGCTTGCATTCAGTTGGAGTGGTTTCTGTGTGGAAGCAAAGGTATTTCTGCCTGGCTGTAAGAGAATGTTGCTATAGGGAATTCTATGAATTTAAATGCCAGAGAAAGTAAAACTAGCAAAAACGCATCACAGGGGGCTGCTTTTGGTCAAAGTGGAACTTCTTGGAACGGATGAGTTTGATGCTCAGACAGGAGGAAGGGAGAGGAAAACCAGAGTTTATGAAGCATCTGCTAAGTTCCAGAAACTTAGTAGAGAGGTGGGGGTCGCACCGATCTGTATGTAATTTCTGCCTTTATTTTCTAGGATTCTATGAATGAAAGAAGTGATAGTTCATATGGTAAGATGATCTTTAAATATTTTGAACTCAATTTTGTATTCAGTTGAATGTATTATACATTAAAATGGAAAATAGACTAGTCAGGACAGAAATGTACCCTGAAGATCTTCCTCAGACCAGGCCCATAGTCAGTTCCTCAGGAGACTTTTCATGTATGCACTGGGTGTAGCCCAGCCAAGGACGTGGTGAGAGAATGCTTGACCTCCTCTGAAATCTTATGGAGTTGGGCCTGACTCTGCCTCTTCTTTCTGGATCCTGGTTAATCATGATTCATTTTTGATTCCTTCTGAAGAAACAGAACTAATTACTTCATGGGTAACTCTGGCATATAGAGCCCAATCTTTAATGTACTGGTGACCAAAAGTGGCACTTCTTGTGTGCACTGTTGTCAGTATGCAGAGATCTACCTCATTCTATGTAGTTGCTGGAGTTGTGTCCAAAGAGGGGCAAATACAGCTGATTTGGCCATCGCCTTGCTGATCAGCTCTCAGGTTATTTATGGATCAGCCCTGTGCAATAAGTAAATATTCAGTGATGAATACAATAGATAACTTCTCTGTTCTCATGCCCAATAATAACCAACGTTATTAACCAAATAATTATAGTGATTTAAGCAGACATTACATACTGAGAAATTAAATACATCACTCAATAGGATATATATCATTTAATACTTAGAATATATAAAATATCATCTTTATAATAACCCTTTTTTCATAATTTTATTTATTTATTTATTGAATCACTGTGGGAAAAGTTACAAAGCTTTCAGGTTTAAGTCTCGGTCACACAATGATCAAACACCTTTCCCTTCACAAGTACTTATTTTTCACCACCAAGAACCCCAATATAACCCCCCTCCCACCCCTCCCAATGCCTGTGAGGCAGATGATAATAATAACCCTTTTATAAGGAAAATGGTATTACCAATATTCTCATTTTACAGAGGAGCCAATTTAACCAGAAATATGGACCCTCAAATTCTGCCAACATGTGAAACATTCAGTTCTATCAATGCCCATCAGTCTCACTCCCCAGACACAAAGTTATCACTGAACAGAGTTGAGTTCATTGACTGTTGGCAAGGAGGCAATGGAATACCACGGGGAGTCACAGAGTGAGGGTGAGAGAAAGGACTGTATGTAGGATGTGGGCTTGTGTGAACTGTATTCACTGGGTTCCGTGGTATCAGTAGCCTTTCAGCTGATACTTTAAATGTTTCCTTTACTAGTCTTGGTGCTTAGACCTAGACATAAGACTCTCATTATAGGGCCTGAAGGAATCAGACTAAGTGACCACATCGAGATGCCATCTGCACTTTGTTTAGGTCATTGATTTGGTGTTGATCGTAGCTCTTGGGAAAAGTGTTTGGGACAGGAGATGTATGGAAATAGGACTTTATGGGATGTGTGTGTGTGTGTGTGTGTGTGTGTGTGTGTGTGTGTGTTTCAGCATACCCAATGGTGCTTGGGACTTACTCCTGGCTCTTGGCTCAAGGATCACTCCTGGCTGTGCTTGAGCACCATATGAGATGCCAGAGACCAAACCAGTATTGGCTGTGTACAAGATAATTGCCTTACCCACTATGCAGGGGAAACATCCTAAACACTGAACTATCTCTCTGGCCCAAACTCTTTTATTCTTAACCCTGAAACAGTATCTATTATGTGAATATACCACTAAGAAGCATTTTAATTATAGGTTTTTCATATTTTATTCAATATATTTGAAATAATTCAAAGACTTAACCTATCCTTAAAAATAGGCTCTGCTTATTTCAGTATAAAACCATTTATGTACAAAAAAGCCCTTTAGGGGCTGGAGTGATAGCATAGCGGGTAGGGCGTTTGCCTTGCACGCGGCTGACCCGGGTTCGATTCCCAGCATCCCATAGGATCCCCCAAACACAGGGCCAGAAGTAATTCCTGAGTGCATGAGCCAGGAGTAACCCCTGTGCATTTCCAGGTGTGACCCAAAAAGCAAAACAAAAACAAAAACTAAAAAAAAACCCTTTATATATTCATACTTAGTTAAGTGCCCAAGAATGAAAACACAAAGAGTAAATGCAAACATTGGTAGTATCTGAAGGGTAGTGTGAGGGAAATCATAACTAGCCCATATTTTTCTCTATATTAAAAAACCTCAACCATGAATGGATTAGGTTATTTTTGGAAAGATTTAGACTGAGATCTACTTAACCATACCTTCTATTCATTGTTTGCATATTACTGAAAGTGTCTATCATTTCAAGGAAGCCTAAAAGTCCGTCTGATTTGTAATTCTCAATGCATTTCCCAGCATGCTCCAGTATCAACCTGTAGTAATGAGATGAGAAGAATCAAAGGTTTAAGACTAGCAAAGGCCAAGTTTAATATGATCATGTTTCCTGGCAACTTCACACTTTATGTAGTGGTGCATTTGCCTGTGACCCTTTCGTGGCTTCCACTTGCTGGGTATTTTCTGATCAGGTCAGAGTTTTATGGGTTCACAGTCCTACCATTGTCCATGAAAATTGACAGAAATGAGAATCAATCCCTGTAATCTCCATATTCAACTGCAAGTGGAGACTCTGAGTCTGCCTGTTTTGCCCTACAGGGTCAGAAGAGATGCAGGTGCAGTCGACCAGCAGTGACCTAGCTCCCGAGACTGAGGACTCAGAACTGAGGGTCCTTCTGGTGGGCAAGCATGGCGCGGGAAAAAGCACAATTGGAAATTGCCTCCTGGGGAAGCAGGTCTTTGACACCGGATTCAGTGAAAAGCCTGTAACCATGAGCTTTCAGTCTGAGAGTAGAGACTGGAAAAAAAGGAAACTTTTGATCATCGATACTCCAGACATCTCATCTCCAGAGAGCTTTCAGCGGAAGTTTCAGAGATGCACATATGGGGACCCCCATGTCTTCCTGATGGTGATTCCCATCGGCTCGTTCTCCAAGGAAGATAAAGCTCTGCTGAAAAGCATGCAAAGATGTTTTGGAAGGAAAGTCTTTGGGCACATGTTCATTCTCCTCACCAGGGAAGAAGATAGACGTCAGAATACAGAAACGTTAAAAGACAGAGATGATTCTCTCAATAGTCTCCTTAAGAAGTGTAAAAATAAAAAATTCTCCAGATACAAAGAAATGGGGGAGGGTGAGCAGAAACAGGTGGATCAGCTCCTGCAAGAACTTGTGAGTCTGACAGAGCAGAATGCGAATAAGCCATGTGCCATGGAAGGTAAGCAATGGACAGAAAAATCTTTCTACATTCTTTAAAAAGGAGCAGAAAATACATTAAGGACCTTTATTTCCTGAAGGGCATAGAGAGATAAGGGCAATTCCATTCTACTGACAGATGCTCAAGAAAATTCAAAATAAGATAGCTTTATTTAGAAAAATTGTAAGGAGAATGAGAAAGCGAGAGAGGGAGAGAGAGAACACTACAGGCTGTGCTGTGAGTAGCAGAGATGGTGCCTCTTTCTTACATTTTACTGGGGTGTCTGCATCGCAGGTGCTATCCTGGCCTGGCATTTAGTCCTTTCCGTAAACCTGTCTCTCACATGGGTGCGAAGGTCTTGAGCGAAGGAGTTGATCTTTCCTTATTCCTTCTTTTCCTCACAGTGTGTCTTTTGCGGAGGACTCAGCATTGGTGAGAAGATAGTCTTCATCATACATTTAGCCTCTTGTTACCTCTTTCCCCCGCTTTTTGGGGGGTGTTTAGATCACACCTGGTAATACTCAGGGCTCACTTTTGGCCCTGGAATCAGGGATCACTCCTGATAGGTTGGGGGACCATATGGGATGCCAGAGATTGAACTCGGGTTGGCCGCATGCAAGGCAAGAGCCATCCCTGCTGTACAATTGCTCCAGCCCCTCCTATTATTTTCTTGAACTGAGTTCTCTCTCCCCATATGTCAGTCTCTCTTTCAATCTCTTATTCTGTCTCTCTCCCTCTCCATCCTTTTATTATTCTTTGTAGAATCTCTTGATTTTTTTTCTCCGTCGGAGAGGGGAGAGCACTTTGATTTGATAAGCTCAGGGATCTTAAAAGCTCTCAAGGGCAGGGTCCACATGGCACTAGGTGGGCCTTGGAATCCCCATAACTCTGTCATATCTACTGCAGGAGGCTCCAGCTAACTCTATTTACGTGTTCTAGCCACTCAGTCGGAGATTCGTTCAACTCAGCATTACCATCCCTTTCCCTTATTCAGATGAGACTGTTTGAAGCAGAAGAGAAAGGGTTGCTCTTGGCTTGGGGGTCTGAGACACACCTGTTTATTGACTTGTCATGTTCTGCATGGAGAGAGCCAGGCGCTAGCAACCTCTTAAAGGAGAGATGTGGGAAAGTGAGTAGAACCTTCGTGGAGAAAACCCAACTTGCAGTGGAGTCTAGAGAATGGGTAGAGTATGGATGCAGGTACAGGAAGCTGGAAGATATTCTTTTTTTTTCTTTAAATTTTTATTAGTGAAACACCATGAGGTACAGTTGTAGACTTACAAATTTTTGTGCTTGGGTTTCAGTTATACAATGATCGAATACCCATTCCTCCACCAGTGCCCATTCTCCACCACCACCAGTCCCAGTATCCCTCCCCCCCCCCCCTTCCTCCCATCCCACCCTACCACTGTGTCAGGGCATTCCCTTTTTTTTTTAATCTCTCTCCCTTTGAGTGCTGTGGTTTGTAAAAGAGAGATTGAGTGGCAATCTTGTTCGGACTATAGTCTGCTCTCATCACGCATTTCCCATCCTGAGAGGAACTTCCCAACTCCCTTTACTTGGTGCACCCTTCTCTATCTGAGCTGCCTTTCCCCCTAGCATGTGCGGCTGTCCTCAAAGCCATGGAGTAATCCTCCTGGTACTTATCTCGGCTATTCTTGGGTGTTAGTCTCCTATTTTGTTACTTTATGTGGAAGATATTCTTGAGAGTACACTCAATTGCAATCTAAGTGTTGGCCTGAGCACAGCATTTGTAGGGAAAAAAAGAGACGATCTTTATGTAGATAGAGGTGTCACACTTCTAGATAATGGCACTGAGAGAGGAGATCAATGACAGAGGTCCTTGAGAATCATCCTGAAGGTTAGGACGCAGAGACTAAATTTCATGACAAAAATGGAGGTGCTGGAGGTCAGTCTACTTCTTTTCATCCTCTAAGCATAACTATGAAACTATAGGTTTAGGATCAGATATTTGAAAAGTTCTCCTAGGTAGAATTCTCTCCTTTATGTGTTGAGGTGGATATTTGTAACTTGGCAAAGGTTTTATGACTAAGGAGGTGCATAAAAGGATCTAATGGATGGACAGGTCACAGACTGTCTGAAATGCAAAACTACAAGGAACCCTAGCAAACATATTGTAAGATCTTTGCACCTGACATTTCATTAACAGGAACATGTATTCTCCATGCACACCATACAGAACTAAGGTAGTGGATTATCCTTTATTAAGATAATGAATGACATTCGATTCATAGTGAAGACACAATTAAACACAAGTTTAAATTTTAACTTCAAGTATTTTTAAACACAAGTTTAAAGTACTCTTCGTGCCTTCCAAGTGGAGCTCAGGGGGCCTGTGGTTTCTTTTAGAAATTCTTGGCCAATAGGGAGGATATGGTACTGCCGAGTTCTTACTGTGCCAGGGACCCCAGTGGTCACTCTGGTCACTCTGGTCCTCAGGGACCTCCAGGACTGCATCGGGTAAAGCCTGATACTCAGAGGCAGTGTAGTCCTGGGGATGAAGGCCTGGCCAGGTACATGCCCTCACCCACCTGTTATCTCCTGGACCCCAAGTTGATTTAAATGAGAAATGCAAGCTAGCATGATTCTGCAAAGGAAGTGGCAATCCTTTCACAGTATATGTAATTTAATTGCTTTTTAATAAAAATGTAAAGTTTAATAAAGTAATTTTTCAAATACAATGAAGATATTTTGCTTTAGGTGACAGTAAAGGAAGACAAAGTCATAAGACAAACAGAAGACAAAGATAAAATATTAGGCTGGAGCCAGATGAGTAGGAGAAGAATGAGAAAGTCAGAGGACTCACAGGGTGCTAAGAAGTCAGAGAAGATTCCAGAATAGCAGCAGAAGAGATTCAGTTCCCTGTCAGGATTAGCACTGGACAGAGACTAGGTATCAGGTCCTGCTTCTGAGTTAATAAACGTTCTGACGTACAAGTCATTTCTAAGTGTGGGGCAGGAGCTTCCAGATGAGGGGAGCTTTTGCGTTCTGAGCATCCTCTGATGTAATATGTGGTCTAACTGGGAGAGGTGTACTCAGGTCAACTAATTTTTTTTCCATCCTTATTTATTTATTTATCTAATTTTTAATAGAATCACCATGAGATGCAGTTACAAAGCTTTCATGATTGAGTTTTAGTCATCTAATGATCGAACACCCATCCCTCCACCGATGCACATTTTCCACCACCAATGTTCCCAGTATTCCCCCCACAACCCCCACCCCATTCCATCCCCTGCCTCCGTCGCAGACACCTTCCTTCTTACTCTCTCTCTACTATTGGGCATCATGGTTTGCAATACAGATACTGAGAGGCCATTGTGTTTGGTCCTTACTCTACTTTCAGCAAACATCTCCCATCCCGAGTGACCCCTCCAAACATCATTGACTTAGTGGTCTCTTCTCCATCCCAATTGCCTTCTCCGCCAGCACATGAGGCCGGTCTCCAAACCGTGGAGTGATCCTCCTGGGGCTTGTGTCTACTGACCTTAGGTGTTAATCTCATATTATCTTATTTTATATTCCACAAATGAGTGCAGTTATTCTATGTCTGTCCCTCTCTTTCTGACTCATTTCACTTAGCATGATACTTTCCATGTCCTTCCACTTATAAGAAAATTTCATGACTTCATCTTTTCTAAAAGCTGCATAGTGTTCCATTGTGTAGATGTACCAAAGTTTTTTTTAATCAGTCATCTGTTCTCAGGTACTTGGATTGTTTCCAGATTTTGGCTATTGTGAACAGCGCTGCAATAAATATACAAGTGCAGATGTCATTTCTATTGTGCTTTTTTGCGTCCCCAGGATATACTCCCAGAGGTGGTATTGCTGGGTCATAAGGAAGCTCAATTTCTAGTTTTTTGAGGAATGTCCATGTTGTTTTCCAAAAAGGCTGGACCAGTTGGCATTCCCACCAACAATGAACGAGAGTCCCTTTCTACCCGAATCTGCCCCAGCACTGGTTGTTCTTGTTCTTTTGGATGTGTGCCAGTTTATGTGGTATAAGATGATACTTCACTGTTGTTTTGATTTGCATTTCCCTGATGATTAGTGATGTAGAACATTTTCTCATGTGCCTTTTGGCCATTTGTATTTCTTTTTTGAGGAAGTATCTGTTCATTTCTTCTCCCCATTTTTCTATGGGGTTGGAAATTTTTTCTAGTAAAGTTCTACCAGTGTCTTGTATATCCTGGATATTAACCCCTTATCTTATGGGTACTGGGTAAATAGTTTTTCCCATTCCGTGGGCTCTTTCTGTATTTGGTCACTGTTTTTTTTTGAGGTGAAGAAGCTTCTTAGTTTAATGTAGTCCTATTTGTTTATGTTTGTTTCCACTTGCTTGGTCAGTGGTGTTTCATCCTTGAAAAATTCTTTTAGCTTTAATATCGTTGAGTATTCTACCTACATTTTCCTCCATGTGCCTTGTGGATTCAGGTCTGATACTGAGGTCTTTAATCCATCTGGATCTGACTTTTGTGTCTAACGTTAGACAGGGACCTGAGTTCACTCGTTTGCATGTAGTTGTCCAGTTTTTCTAGCATCACTTGTTGAAGAGGCTTTCCTTGCTCCACTTCACATCTCTTGCTCCTTTATCAAAGATAGCACAGCGGGTAGGGCGTTCGCCTTACAAGCGGCCAACATGGCCGACCCGAGTTCGATTCCTCCGCCCCTCTCGGAGAGCCCGGCAAGCTACCGAGAGTATTGGATATGCCAGACACAGTAACAACAAAGTCTCCAATGGAGACGTTACTGGGCCCGCTCGAGCAAATCGACGATCAACGGGAGGGCCTTTACCTTTACCTTTACCTAAATGATCACTTACTTGAGAGTCTGTGTCAGAATATTCAACTCTGCTCCTTTGGTTTGCGGGTCTGTTTCTATTCCAATACCATGCTGTTTTAATTACTACTACTTTGTAGTACAGTTTGAAGTTGGGGAAGGTGATGCTGCCTCTCTTCTTTACTCTAAGGATTGCTTTAGTTTTTCGTGGGGGTTTATAGTTCCATATGAATTTCAGGAGTGTTTTGTTTATTCCTTTGAAAAATGTTATGGGTATCCTTGTAGGGACCACATTGAATCTGTCTAATACTTTGCGGAGTATTGCTCAATTAATTTTTCCTTCTTCCCTTTCTACAGATACCCTGAACATTATCCTTGTGGGGAGGGGTGGAACTGGGAAGAGCGCAACTGGAAACACCATCATCGGGAGGGAGGTGTTCCCCTCACAGCTCAGTGCTCAGCCGGTTACCAAGACCTGCTGGAGCCAAAAGAAGAAGTGGGGGAGACAGGATGTGGTGGTTGTGGACACGCCTTCCCTTCTCCTCATACCTAGTGACTCAGAGCGTTCGTCCCAGCCAGAAGAGGAGATCCAACTCTGCTCACGCTACTGTGAAGGGAACAAGATTCTCTTTGTCCTGGTGTTCCAGCTGGGAAGGTTCACTCAAATGGATCAAAATGTTTTGGTGCAGTTAGAGGCCATCTTTGGACAGAACGTTAAGGAATACACAATTGTGCTGTTCACCCGGAAGGAAGATCTAGGGGGTGACAGCATTGAAGATTACATTGAGAATGTAGATTGCAATGCTCTTAAGGAGATTGTTAAAGAGTGTGGAAGGAGAGTTTGTGCCTTTAATAACAGAGAGTCAGGCCAAGCTAAGGAAACCCAGGTGAGAGATCTGCTGAAAATGGCCAATGATGTGATAGAGAACCATGGAGGGTGTGGATATACTTTTAATTTGGAAAAGAGAATTAAACACATGGAAAGTGCTCAGGGAAAGTCCAAATACAAATCTCAGAAACAGGATTCAAGAAATTGCAAAGAGTTTGTCTCAAATGCATATCAAGGAGTAAAGGAACTCGCTCTTAGGAAGTTGCAGAGTAAATCTACTGAGCACTTCCAGAAGTGATCCCAGAGCATAGCCAGGTGGGACCCTCTGGCCATCCCACCTCCAATCAGTTTCTAGGGACTGGAGAGATCACCCAATGGGTTGGGCACATGTTTGCGGGTAGCAGGCAAGTTTCAATACCTGCCACCACGTGGTTTCTGGAGTATCCTGGAGGAGCTCCTGAGCACCATGATTGTAGCCATCCAAAACAAACAAACAAACAAAAAAAGCGAAGTTCCCAAAGGTGTCTAGTGTAGCCAGGGCCTCTTTAATTTAGAGACCCTCAGGCTGGGGGCAGGCATGGTAGAACAGAGCAAAAGGAAGAGGGCCTATGACTTGGAGAGTTTGAGAGGTATACACCCCCCCCCCCCCACACACCATTTCTGCTCGGTGGAGGGTTATAAAAGATCCGACTGGGGCAGATAATAGGGAGTTAGAAAGTAAGGAAGAAATAAGGTTGAAAAGTCAGGAAAAATGTTTCAGAGAAGATTATATAGACCTCTATTTACTTAATTGAAAAATCATTCTTTTTTTTGGCGTTTGGGTTATTCTCGTGGTGTTCAGGACTTACTCCTGGCTCTGTGCTTCAGAATTACTCCTGATGGTGCTCAGGAGAACATAGTGGTGCTAGGAATCAAACCCCAGGCAGGTGCCTGCATGCAAGGCAAGTGGCTTACCCCCTGGAACATTTCTCCAGCCTTAAATTTTAATTTTTCTTGCAGTTCAGGTAACACAGTGATAGTAGAGCTAACGCTTATGGATTTGATGTACAAAGCACCTCACCAATACCAAAGTGCCTAGGACCCTCCACCACTGTCCTGATGATGTTTCTAGTCTCTTTCTCTCTCTTTCCCCGCTCACTCCACTGCTTAGTAATCTCAGTTTCATAATCAGAGTTCAAGGGTTTGTCATCAGAAGCAGTACAAGAGTGACAACAGTTATGTGGGCAGGTTGGAAATCAGGAGACACCATGACCCAGTAGAGGTTGGCAAGGGGTCAAAGGACAAGGTATTTGCATAGAACCAGGGGAAGCCATTTATAAGTGCTTAAAAGTAGGCCCATGCCCAGCCAACTCCCGAGAGTGACAGCTTGGAGGAGCCTGACTCCTGTGGTCATCCTACTACCCAGGGCTATTGGCCACTGGTCTCGGGCAGGTGCAAGGCCATGTCGCTCTTGAGGCAGTTGCTCCTCAGAAGTCTTCTCACTCCAAGCCTGAGGGGAAAGTGGGATCCACCCTGACTTTTTGGGTTAAGGGAAAAGGAGTTTGTGAGGATTCAAAAGATTTTGTTGCTCATCACCACCATGAATGGACCAGGGAAAAAAAATCAGAATATGGTAAAATTGCCCAGATTAGATGCATATGCAAAAAATTTTAAGTGCACATCTTAAATCTTCTGGAAAAAAATAAATGGAATCACTCCTCTACATGTTCTCTTTCATTTTGTTATTTTAAATCCCGGAGAATCAGAAATTAGGTCACGACTCAGAGAACTCAAGTGAGATGCGTGGCCTCCTCAGGAGCTCGCTGTCTCATGTAAGGGAGCCCAGGATGAGGTGGTCAAGGGTGGGTTGGGCTGGTTGGCCCTGGGCTCTCAGCTCTGTCCTGTCTCCCTGCTGAAGGAGACTGTGCGGAATACTCCTCCAGGTGGGGTGTGGAAGAGGGAATCTTGGAATCTTCTCCCAAGGAGGAGTGTCAGGTGTTTTCTGTGTGAACACTTTACACATGTTTTGAGGACAGGATCTACGTCATCTGCTTCTTTCTGGGAGAATCTATCAAGTTCCCTCCAAGATTGAAGCAGTTGTAAGAACATGTAGTGCCACCATGAATACTTTTTTGTTTCGACATAGCTCTTCATATGATGACTTCAGGGATGTATGTACAAATTCAGCTGAGTGATAAAATAAAGAGGAATGTAGCTCAGAGTTCATGTCGTCATGTTTCATTTTATTCATTTCAAAATGATGCTGGTGCCCCCTTCCCCCGCCCCCTCCCCCCTTGGCGACTTATGTGAAGCATCGAGGAGAGAGATGGCCACTTCCACTTTCTCCAGACCCACTCCTGCCACCTCCGGACAGGCTGGGAAGTCTAGGACTGATAAACTGCGATGAGGCTTATGGACTTTGAGTCCCACCAGCCCCACAGAGTAGCTCAAGCCACACCTGGCGTCCACTTGGTCTTCTGGGCACAAGACTTAACCCCCACCTTCTGATTTCTCAGGGAGCCGTGGCCCCAGGCCGGGGTTAGGCATTGCTCTTTGCAGGAAAGGAAAGTCATTTCTAGGCCTTAGCCAAGCTTTGCTTGGTCCTTCACCTTCTCACAGAAGAGAATTTCAGGAGGAGATGAGCACTGAAGTAAAAACAGATTTTGTTTGGAGTTTTTTTAGGGAAGAGGAAGGAGGGAGAGAAAGGGAGAGAGAGTAATGCGTTCAAGAGAGAACATGGTTGGGGCTGGAGCAATAGCACAGCAGGTAGGGCGTTTACCTTGCTTGCAGCTGACCCGGGTTCGAGTCCCAGCATCTCATATGGTCCCCCGAGCACTGCCAGGAGTAATTCTTGAGTGCATGAGCCAGGTGTGACCCAAAAAGAAAAAAAAAAGAGAACATGGGCTTCTCCAAGGGCAGAAAGTTCCTCAGTACATCTCAAGAGGGAAGATGCGGGTACGACATGTGCTTGGCCACAGCCCGCGAGCACAAGCAGCACATGGGCTCAGGCAGCATATGTGCATGCTTCCTGTGTTCAAGCTGGCTTGTATAGGGTTTCTCCCCACCTGCCTCACATGGGTCTTTCTATGTAGGTAAGAGTCTGTTGCTAGGGTCGTTGCCAAAGGGGTAGAATTGGGAGCAGTTGATGATCTTCTTTGAAATTCCTTTTTTGTTGCAGCTTCTCTTAGAGTGGGGGGGGGGAGTCCAGCCTTCTCTGGGTTTGTGCTGGTGCCAGATAAAGCTTTCATCAGGGATTAACTCTTGTGTCCATGAGGTGGGTCCTGAGAGCCTTAGGGCTAGTTGGTTATTACTTCCCAGGAATTTTATTGCCATGGAGCCCTTCCCTATCTACCTGTGACACAGCATATGGCCTGGAGAATGTACTATGTGCTTGAAAAGAATGTGTTCTGCTGCTATTGAGTAGAATTTCATATATATAATTAATAAATATATGAACTATGTTAACATATAAATATAAAATAAATTATATCAATAAATTCTCACTTGTATCACTTGTCAGCTGGAATGATAGCACAGTGGGTAGGGCGTTTGCCTTGCACATGGCCGACCCTGTAGGCCTAGGTTCGATTCCTCTGCCCCTCTTGGAGAGCCCGGCAAGCTACCGAGAGTATCTTGACCGCACGGCAAAGCCTGGCAAGATACCTGTGATGTATTTGATATGCCAAACACAGTAACAAGAAGTCTCACAATGGAGACATTACTGGGTCCGCTCGAGAAATCGATGAACAACGGAAGGACAGTGCTTGATCACTTGTCGTCTGGTTGTTCATTGATTTGCTTGAGCGGGTGCCAGTAGCATCTCCATTCGCCCCTGTCACGTGATAGTGTAGCCCAATGGCATACTGGGGGCTCTTTCAGAATCAGGGGAATGAGATCTGTTATTGTTACTGTTTTTGGCATATTGAATACACCATGAATAGCTTGCTAGGTTCTGCCGTGTGGGTGGAATACTATCAGTAGCTTGCCAGGCTCTCCCCAATAAATATCACTGTCACTGTCACTGTCCTCCCGTTGTTCATTGATTTGTTCAAGCAGGCCCAATAACATTGTGAGACTTATTGTTACTGTGTTTGGCATATCAAATACATCATGGGTAGCTTGCCAGGCTTTGCCATGGGGTGAGATACTCTCGGTAGCTTGCTAGGCTCTCTGAGATGGACGGAGGAATCAAAGTGGAGGAATCGAACTCCGGTCGGCCTGGTCAGCCACATGCAAGGCAAACGCCCTAAAATATAAATATATATGTGTATATATATATGTATATAGATTCTCTGCTTGCTCCCACTTAGCACAGGTGACAAAGGGATTAAAATCAGGAGCCCCACCCTACCCTGCCCTGTCTGCTTCCACCAACCACAAGAGCCCCAGGAATTGAACTGCGCACAGAGACTCACCCTACCCCAACCTGTACCAGATAAATACCTCACCGGCAGACCTCCACTACCTCCACTACCCAGCCGTCGCCACGCACCAGGACGCTTTCCAGACTCTCCGGCTGAGACTCATGCATGACTGAAGCCCCATAGAAAAAGATAAGTGGAACTCTGAGTCCTTGGACTCCAGGCTCCAATGGACCCAGGGACAGAGTCTCTGCTTGCTCCCACCAAGCACAGGTGACGAAGGGATTAAAATCAGGAGCCCCACCCTACCTTGCCCTCTCTGCTTCCACCAACCACCAGGATCACGGATCATGGTCCTCCCATTGTTCGTCGATTGGCTCGAGTGGGCCCAGTAAAATCTCTATCATGAGACTTGTTGTTACTGTGTTTGGCATATCGAATACATCACGGGTAGCTTGCCAGGCTCTGCCGTGCGGGCGAGATACTCTCGGTAGCTTGCCAGGCTCTCCAAGAGGGGCAGAGGAATTGAACTCGGGTTGGCCATGTTGGCTGTGTGCAAGGCAAACGCCCTACCGCTGTGCTACGCTCCAACCCACCAACCACCAGACCCCCAGGAATTGGATTGCGCACAGAAGACCCACCCTACCCCTACCATTACCAGATAAATACCTCACTGGCAGACCTCCACTACCTCCACTACCTCCACTACCCAGCCACCGCCATGCTCCAGGACACTTTCTGGACCCACGCAGCCGCTTTGCCGCCATGCAACACATTATAAGACACTAAATACCCATCTTCCAGAATTGCTGTACCATATTTGATAGGGTTCAAATATGTTTGAACCATGGTAACACCTACAAGGGCGATTAGAGGCTGCCCCAAAAGCCTTCATCCCTCTAGGAGAGCCTGGTAAGCTACCGAGAGTATTCCACCTGCATGGCAGAGCCTCGCAAGCTATCTGCTGTGTATTCAATATGCCAAAACCAGTAATTACACTGGGTCTCATTCCCCTGACCCTGAAGGCGTCACCAATATGGCAGCATTGAGAAGGATGAGAAAGGAGAGGCCGATAAAATCTCAAGGCCGAACTAGGCTGCCACAACGAAGGAAGACAAAAATGATCATCTGTACTTTCAATGCACGTATGCTAGCATCAGATGCATCCATCAAGGACCTGATGGTACAAGTGCGAAAGATCAAGTATGACATCATTGGTCTGACCGGAACAAGAAGGCACCAATCTCATCACACTGTTTTCGACACTGGAGAAGAATTGTTCCTTGGAACATGCGATAAAAGAGGTATCGGAGGTGTCGGTGTCCTTGTCAACACAAACTTGGCCATGAGCATTAATTCATTCGAATGCCCAACAACCCGAATTGGACGTTTACATTTGAATAGATGTGGCTCACTGCCGGCAGTTTCTATCTTCGTTGTATACGCACCAACATCCAATTATGATGAAGGAGAAATTGAGAAGTTTTACATGGAGCTGGAAAGTTCTATAAAGAAGACCACACCTTCTACAAGATCATTGTGGGTGATTTTAATGCCAAAGAAAGCCTTTGATTCTGTTGAGACGGAAGTGGTCATTGAAGCCCTAGCCAATCAGGGCATTCAAGCCCAATACATCAAGATCCTCCGTGAGCTGTATTGCGGATTCACTACCAGGATCTCACCATTCTATAAAGAAGTAATCATTCATGTCAAGAGAGGGGTTCGGCAGGGTGATACCATTTCACCGAAACTCTTCAGTGCCACCCTCAAGAACATCATGCGACCACTGGAATGGGAAGGAATGGGAGTGAAGATAGATGGTAGGCAACTACATCACCTCCGCTTTGCTGATGACACTGTTTTAATAACACCAAACATCAGCCAAGAGGCACAAATGCTGGCTGACTTTGACCATGAGTGTGGAAATGTAGGACTACAGCTGAATCTTACGAAGACAATGTTTATGAGAAACAGCCTCGTTCCTGATGCCCCATTCGCTCTCAACGGAACGACCATCTCCGAATGCAACAGCTATGTGTACCTAGGTCGAGAGGTCAACATGACAAATGACCTGGCACCCGAGCTGTGCAGGAGGAAGAGAGCGGCTTGGAACGCCTTCAAGAACGTGGAAGAAATAGCTAAGAGGATGAAGAACCTCCGGCTCCGGGCACATCTCTTTGATTCCACTGTTCTTCCTGCATTAACATATGCCTCAGAGACCTGGGCCCTATGCAAACAGGATGAGAACGCTACTTGGGTCTCCCAAAAAGGAATTGAAAGAGCTATGCTTGGAATATCACGTTTCACTCAAATGAGAGAAAGAATCCGGAGTTCTGACATCCGTCGATGATCAAGATCAGGGACGCTGTCTCGTTTGCCAAGGTGTCAAAAATCAGGTGGGCTGGTCATGTAATGAGATTTAAAGATGACCGCTGGACTAGAGCTGTTACTGACTGGATTCCACGGGATGTCAAAAGACAGCGTGGCCGCCCACCTACCAGATGGTCAGACTTCTTCGTCAAGATCATGAACGATTGGTTTGAGGCTCTTCATGTTCCCAGAGCGAACAGATGCCATTGGGCTACACTAGCACTTGACTGGGACAAATGGGGATGTTACTGGCGCCCACTTGAGCAAATCGAAGACTAACAGGAAGTTAAGTGATTAAGTGATTAAGTGATTTAATGCCAAGATAGGACCAAGAAGATCAGCTGAAGAACTTCACTTTGGGACCCATGGCCTAGAATGGAACAAACAGGGTGAGAGACTGTCTGAGTTCATCATGTCGACCAAGACCATCCATGGTAACTCACAGTTCCAGAAGGCCGAATCTAAACATTGGACATGGGCGTCTCCCGGT